TTAAAATAAAATAAAAAAAGAGAGAAAAACCTTAGGTACTCCTAAAAATATTCCTGTACGGCGCGACCGCCAGCTATAAATCTTCCGCCAAAAAGGTAACCCCCATCTTTGAACAAGTTTTCCGAGCCCAAACAATAGACTGGCTCTCTCTACCCTTATATCTCCTCTAAGGTAGGGACCTAGGGTGTGCGGTATGGATCCTCGTTAAACTGTTCTACCGTAAAGTGCTCGACTTCGCGTGCAGGTTGTCGGGCTACCAAAGCGGGGGTGCCATCCCCTCTGCAGAGGATCAAAATTGTGATGTCATGTCTTCGAATCTTCCTCAGGGATGGTTCCCAGACCGTCGCCAATAGCCCATTGTGCAGCTCTAGTGCAACGTAAATGAACAACAACAAAAAAGCTTTTAGATAGAATTCTTTGATACTTAGCATGCAGAAGGGACATAGCGATGTTTTGAATTAAAAGCTAATATCTAAGTGCGAATTTATTATTTTTATTATGCTTCAAGTACGAATGTTTGGCATTTTCATTTAAAAAATCACTACTAAACAATATATATATATATAGTTATATTTTATTGTACCCTAGAAATTGTTTAACGATTTTTGTTCAAAACACAGGTAATGATATTATTGATTTAAAAAAAAATTGTTTTGATATTCAAACATTACAATTTGTTGTAGAGCTGTTGACATAAGAAAAATTGTAGTTTTATGCTTAAATATATGTTATTTTGAAAAAGTATTTAAAGAATTTTTAATGTTTACTTTAGATTTATAATATTAGAGCTCTTGCTTACCATAAATAAAATTAAAATGTTAACTAAGGCTATTTTTCAAAAAAAATTTTACCGCACCCATTGGGATACCTCAATTTACAACTACTTTTGTTAAATCATTTATTAGCTATTTGTTTTGTTTATTGTGCTTATTTTTTTGACGTTTACATAATTTTATTATTTTAACTATATTATTGAAAAAAATACTCCATTGTTCAAAATTTATTTTCTAAATTTTTGTTACATAAGTTTTGAAATTAATATTATAAAATGACTGAGGTTTGCAAAAAATGAATTTGCCAAATAAGCATAGAAAAAAAACATTTTTTAAAGGAAAAAAGAAACTAAAAAAAATTTTGGTATAGCTAAAAATGTATTTATTCATTGATTCATAAATTGGATTGAAAAAATTACTCAAGTACTTTCATTTTTTATTTTTAATAACGGGATGAGAACCTTTAGTTCTGCAAGAAACTGCTTGTTTTTAGCCTTATTAAGGATATTTCTTAAAGATTGAAATCATGGGAATGACATGGACCCTATTATACATAACTCAAACTTCTGCGATATGACATTATCTGCTAGAAAATCCAATTTGGGTCACAAATTCTCTTTGTAATAGGCAAATAATGTGCTTATAGCATTTTTTGGTAGCCTCCATGTGACCTGTGTGAAGGAAAAGCCATGATTATTGCTGCATATTAGGGAAGAAATCCTCTCGTGTTATACTTAATAAGCCACCTAAGCCCTCCAAATTCTTTTTTTTTTCTTTTTGCCGGAAGATAATTGTCAATATAGTTTACTGATCATTCTTTTATATCGCCAATTTCTTCTAAATATTAATTACACAAAACGCTTCTCCAATGAGCAGCAAGGTTGAGGCTCGTTAATGGTATAGGAAGACTCCGAATGTGTAGGCAAACTTATCGCGGCTTTATCCCCAGATCGCATTAAGTTTACTAATAATGGAGAAAAAAATTATTACCCATTATCTGCCAATAGCAGAGAGAATTTGTAGACAAAATAGGATTTCCGAGAAAAATAACACCATTTAGATTATAAATCTTCACTGGGTGGTTTTTCTTAATGCTTGTCACCCTTTCCCCTGATCACAATGTATCCGATGACAAACAGTTTCAGTCTGTCACAAAAATGAATCCTATTATTATTGAAATATGACATATTGATGTAACTCTCCTCCAAGGATTGGTGACTGGTATGTAGTATCATACATTTCAAATCATATATAAAAATAAGAGCTACAATAAGGGTTTGAGTGTGCAACAAATGATTCATAAATGGAAATCATTCACTCGTTTTATTCTTTATTTTATACAGTACTGTTACATACAGTTTCACGAGGATATTGTGATTAAGAAGATAAAATGAATTCGAATACGTAAAATCAAATTTTCTGCAGGGATGTCGACCCTTAATGAGTTCATTCAAGAAACCATCCCAAATTTGAATTCAAACGACGAGTGGGTTAAATATGTTGCAGCACTACTAACTAAGTGGTTGATAGTTGAAGTCTTTTGGGAGATACAAGCGGTTGGTACTTTCAATATGAAGAAAAAGCTAGTTAGTTAAACTTAAAAAGTAAAAGGGGAGTTTTTACTGGAGTAGCAAAGAGTGCAAAAAAAAACCCGGCTTATTACCGAGAGTAAACTGGGGTTTTGGATAGAAAATTTCCAAAAGTCCTGGTTCATTCCGGGTACATTAAATTTGTATACAAATCAATCTCTTAATTTTAGCATAAGTAGCTCTTGAAAGAAGTGCTACTGTCTCCCGAAAAAAGTAGGAACGGCATAGGATGAAATTTTTGTAGTATTTTAAAACACTAACGAAGAGCTTAATCTCTGATAGCATGTTTTGAAATGAAAATGAACATCGTTATTTATTTCAATACCATGCGACAAAAGTTTGTAAGAAATTTTAAATAGTTCTATACTTCTTTTCTTTCAAGTATTAAAATCTATTTTTATTTAAAATTTCTTTTTAATTATTTTTTCAAAGAAATTGCATTAAATAATTCATTTAAAAGAAATTTATTAAAATAATTACTTTAAATGGGAATTTAAATGTTATATATGATTATTTCAATGAAATAGTTTTAAAAAATACATTGAAAGTAATTATAATTTTTCCTGTAGGAGAATTAATGCGACACGGGGGCATGCACCACAGATTAATTTTTGCCTTGCAGGCTAACACAAGTAAATATAAATATCTAATCACTGGTTCTGTAGATAACTATTAAAATGATTGTAGATAACTATTATCTTAAAATGAATGTAGATAACTATTATCTTAAAAATTCACAATATTCCCCAAAATTTCGGATTTATTTCTTAATATTCCGAGGTTTTTTACCGTCCAAGATTTTCTCATCTCTAGTTTTTACCAATGCATGATCTACTGAGTTGGGTTAAAATGAAAAGGACTTAACTGGAATAGTTTATCTTTTAACAGATCCTTTCTTCAACGTCAACATCAGCGGGAACACTTACCTGGAACATGGGCAGCTTTTGGACTTGGAAGTCTCCTGCAACGGAAGGTGAGTTGATGACCCCACATTACTTATTCGTGAACAATGGTTGACAGAGTTAAGTAAAGGGACAGTTCTCACTGCATGCGAATCTGATTAATAGACCCGCGAAAAATTCGACTAATAGAATTACATTCGCATACGAATTTTTCGTTAAGTTGATTTTTTTAATCTTGTCCTGAATTTAGAAAAGAGCAGTTTATTGTAAAACTCTCTTTAAACAGTTTATGATTTATATTATTTAAATAATCTGAAAAATCCAATAGTTAAGATTTTTCTATTATGGTCCCATGACTAACTGCTACGGTCAGCCATCTAACAGACTATTATATAGGCAAGTCGTAGTGCTGAAGAGGTTTACCACATTGGCTTCATAAAGATAAATCAATCTACAATTGATCGTAAAAATATTCGAATCCCAGTGATGGCCATTTGATACGAATTCAGCTGTCTGCCCTCACCGACCTCAGCGCTGACGTCAAATATACTCAGTGGTAGATGACTCATGGGTAAGAATCCCCTTACCGTCGGGATAACCATACTAGATTTTCGTAGTTTTCATTTTAACGTAAATCAAATGCTGGTTAGCTCCATCAAAAAGTCCTCCATTAAGCCCAGTTTGTGCCAATGCTTAATCTAGGAGTTTCTTTGTCTTCTGGGTAGGGTTCAAAATTTTAAGGCTACGAAATTCAGAAGTGATAGTCGAAAACTCAGAATTGAGTCCGTTGCTCAACTTATGATTTTTGTTCTATTTGTTGACAACTTCAGCAAATATAAAAAGTTAACAATGAGGAAGGAGGGTTTTATTCATATAAATGTGGGTAACTGTAAATAATAGCCACGAAGAAAGACTTAGGAGATATTTTCATGTGATCATTTCTCATCGAGTATACTCACAGAATTTTTTAAATTCGGTTATTTTTTTAAGCACAGAAATTCAAGTTTATGGCAAATTTTTAACAGTAGGAAATTTTTTTACGAAATTCCCACTCACTTTCCCTCCAGAAAAATGATGTTAAAAATAAAATTAATTTTAGGTAATAAGCTAAATGAATTTCTTTTAATAAACCACTCACAATCACAAAATATGTTAATATAACAGTACTTGAAAAAAATAGTTCTATGAAGGAACATGAAAAATGCAAAATGAAAACATTCATTTAGGTATTATTCATTCTGAATCAAAAAAAAAAACTTTCTTCTTTGTTTAAGTGGTCCCGTGGACTATTGCTGGAAATTATTGCCCTCTTCAGAAAACCAGACAAACCTCTCTTGCAGTGATCCGGCCACCTCACCCGAATGCACTATTCCCATCCTCTACTACTTTAGGAATTCTGGAGACTTCCAGTTGGCCATTTACGTCAGCAACCTCGTCTCTTCAATGCAGAGGAACGTCCAAGTACACATTTATGACGGTATATATCACCAAAAGACTTACATTTTTTATTCATGTCGTTACATTCTACACTATAAAAATTTTTTAGTCGGAGTCAAAAATTAATGCAACAACTTTACACCAAAGTGTAGTGGCAAACTCTTCACTACAATAATATTAATCTCTTGATGTAAAGTAGCCGTTATTCAGTAACACTAAAATTACAGTAAGATATGACGCGCATAAAAATCAGTAAAGTTATTTTTACGATGCAACATAAAGTAGGATGTGCATCTATGTAATCTTTCTTAAAATTAAAATAGTTTGTTAATCTGATATACACACACAGAGAATAAAAGGAATTAGCAAACAGAAGCGAATAGAAATGAAATATTATAATATTAAATGAATGAAATATAATGAAATATTATTTAATTCGATTCTTTATTAAAAATGTAATTATTTTCATTATGAATCGAAACAGTTTTATAACAGTGTACTTCTGTTTCTGTGTAAGGAACAGCAGAATGCGATACAAACCTCGTGCTCGATTTGTAAACAATCTAGCGTTTTCGACTGACGTTTTCCAAACGAACACCACCATTGGCGAAAATATTTCGTGAATTCAGTAAATGCATCTGATCTTTCGCATTTATACGAGTTTCACTTTAACTACACCTTTAAAATCTGTATGAACTCTCGATTCCGTGTTAACCTGAAATAACACACAATTTTTCAATATCAAAATCTGATGGATAATACACAATAGTTTTTTACAGTGTATATAAAGGGAATAAATCTTGTTCACATATTTTCCAACAAAATATTCGTAAAATGAACTTGTGTAGATAAAATAGTGTTTCCTTTTCTCAGTTAACTAAAATAAAAAATTTTGAAATTAGATTTCATGTGGTTGATTACTTCTTTACAAGACCTTAAACAACATCGTACAAAAGCAATTTTATAAATTAACCATACCAAAATGGTTTTCATAAATACGCCAATTGCGACGATTTAGGAAGTTTCGCCATGTATTTTTTAGAATGGAGGTAAAAAATGAGCTTTTATTATTGAGGTCAATCAAAACACAGGATAGATTAAAAGTAAGGGAAGAATCAATTTATTTGATTAGAATGCTTTCATTCATTTCTCTTTTAAACTTTTTTTCATTCTAAAAATGATTTCGTTAACCCTCTTTAATTTTTGACTTAAACAATGATTATTGCATAAGATGGGGAAAAAACGGTTTATACCCGATATTAAATCAAGGGAGGGAATTAGGAAAGTTTCCAAAACATGAAAATGTTGACTGGTTTTGAATCTTTAATCAGTTAGCTTGAAAGTTCCAAATTAGTATTTTATTATTAAATGCATGTTTTTGTATTGCATGTGCACAAGCAAACTTCCGCATCGGTGGGTTGGTGGCTCTTTTCATATGGAAGTAAGAGCAAGAGGGGCACCCTTTCCAATGTCTGAGAAATTGGCAGAACTTAAAACTAAACCCCCTGAAAAAAGCATAATATTTGTTAAATTCAAAGATGAGCGATCGATTCAAAAACAATAACAAAATTTTTTATTTCGATACATTACACATTTAGGCATACATCTGCCGTCTTTGTATTCTCAGAAGAATCTGTTTTTTTGTTTTTGTTTTTTTTTTACATTATAAGACGCCATCTGGGGGCATTCCGTGACAATATTGAATGCCCAAATGACTCTTAGGACGAGGAACAGTTACGAGCACAGAAAAGTTTTCTTGGAATTTCGTTTCTTTAATAGTGTAGTTCACCTTGATTTCATTTTTAATGAATTACAATGTGCGACCACATAGACCTTATCTTCTTGAGGATTTTCTGTTATGTGAAGATATTCTCTAGAAGGATCTTCAGATTTCAACCCATGTCTGTAGAGTACAATCACCACCGGTAATTATCCAGGATCTGAAAACATTGAGGATCCAGGATCTGAAACAACTAAGAGAGTAGGACTGCCACAGATACATACCTAAGCTGCATTATCCTCAGTATGAAATCATGATTTGAGGTCTGCATGTTATTGAAATTAATCAGAGAGGCCATCCTCGCCCCATATTAACCCATTTTTTCCTTTCGACTCAGAAACCATTGGTTTTACACAGCTTAACCGCAAGGAGTTTAACGCACGGTCATGGTTGTGTTGTGTATTATAAAAGTAGAATGTTTATATTTATTTTATTTCATCAATCTATGTTCAAATTCAATTTCATTAAAATTAGCTCAGTTACTCTGGATATTGTCAAACAAATCTGAGAATTCTCTGAATTTTGAAGACCAGAGTAGTTGCAATAAATACAGGTTTAATTACGTTCCCATAGAGGGTCATTGAATTTTTAGAGCTTAAAAAAACCGTTCTCACTGCTTGCGAAAAATTTGCACGCGAATGAGAACCCAATTTCGGTGTCTATCTCTTGTTTAACTTCGAAAACGTATACATCCTGAAATTTAGACACAGGATGCGAATGACCATTTTAACCTCCGATCTTAAATATCACTCAAAAATTTCAATTCGATCGTTCGAAGGCAGCGCTTGAAAAAAATTTCTTTTATTGGTTTAACTGTAGATGATTCTGTTTTTTTTGTTTTTTTTCCTTCATTTATTTAAAGGGTATTACCAATGATGTTTTCTAACTTACAGCTATGATCAAAAAAATACTTTATTGCACGTTTTTATTAGTCAATTATTCTTATTTGTCAGGTTAATTAAGCTCAAGGATCAACGTGGATAACATTTCATGACCACGCCACCGAATTAGTAATTCTAAGATAATCTGAAACCACTTGTTTAATTTGTTTATCGTATCGCTTTCGAAAAATGTTTCTGCAAACATAAATAATTTGAATTCAAAGGTAATTGAAATATAAATAAAGTTATGTATCAAACTGCAAAATGTATAGAGAAAAGTTATTTGTTCGTTTCGGAAGACCGCAAAATATTGTCAAGCTATTATCGACGCCAATGATCCTTAACTACTTTCCATTATTAGTACTAGTAGTATTGTGATAACAGGTGCTGTTTTAATAAATACTAAATATTCTAGTATATTTACTGTGGGAATAAGTTTTATCCCCCCTCGGAAGGGAAAGATACAGGAAAAAATTATTTGATTGTAACAGTAGCATCGTACCAAACGACACTGAATACAGTTAGTCTATATTTTGATTTGCTCTTTAATAGGAATTTTACTGAATTTAATAACGTTAACTGCATGGGTATTGCAGGATATAATGATAAATAAATAAAAATTGGAATTATTTTAATTATATGGAAATGTGACTTTCAATTTTGTGCATGATTTTGTAGTGTAGTGGTAACCGTTTTATTTTACATCCGTCCGAATAAACGAGTATTCATAAATACAAGAATTATATTTCTTAACTATATCTATCATCACAGAGATAAACTAAGAATTCCATTTCAGTCTCCCTGAGGCCACAGTTGTCTACTGTTATCATTCCTGTCGTGTGCTCGGTTCTGGTGGTGGTCATCATAGCTGTGGCTGTCATCATCCAAATGAGGCGTCGAGGGGTGGGTAACGTAGAGACGGCTGACTTCGATTTCATGAGGATGGACGAAGCGAATGCGGCGGTGGCAGTGGAGACCTCCTGGGAAATAATGTGGCGATCACTGGTGCAACTTCGATGCCTTCTCTTCTGCCACTCTCACGTGGATCATCGCGACACTCCACATTACGGAACGATACTCAAAGAGAGATGAAAACACTTTCATCTACAACATTTTATTATGTATGCCATTTGTTCAATATTTAAAATAAAGAACGTTTGATTTATTTGATCTGACTTATTTTGGAGGGTTTTAGTATAATACTTGGGAAGAAAGTGTTGCCCACATAAAAAGTAATGACATCGTCAGCAACGTAAGCACTCTTTACTGTTATAAGTTTAGGTTGGAAGAGTTTTTCGCAGATTATCTAGTTCGCAAGACAACATTTAATACATTCGGGCGAAGAGCAATACGTAGAGAATCAGTAACTTACTATGGCTCAATTTTGTATGGCAGAAGGCAAGGACCATTCACATTGGAAGCGATTTTTCGCATGCGAAAACGGGAACCTGATTCGCGAGCTTTTTGCAGGTTAATATTTTCGACCCATCTAGTTCTCATTCACATGCGATTTTTTTTCGTATGTGTAAAAAACCCATCCAGTGTGCACATGGTCCTTAAAACGGAAACTTGCCGTCGAATGGTTGGTCTTTATGGTGAACATGGTATATAGAACAAGCGGTTGTGAACAAATTACGTGAAAGCAATTATTCTAACTTCCAAAGAAAATAGAGACGATTTCCAATGAATCCATTGGTGTTAATCATTCGTGACATTTGAGCTAAGTCTGGATAACTTTTTTTGAGTGAACACTTTGTCTAAGCAAAAAAAAAAAAACGGTGCAACGGAACGGGCGAAAGGAGCACAGTTCAAGGGAGCATAAAAATGCGCTCGATTGCCTTAAAAATTTTTAATTTTACTTTTTTCATACATTATTGAACATTTAAACAAAAAATCTTTTCCTTGAGTAGACTTTTTTTTATCTAGGAAAACACTATCATGACACATTTCTCATGAGTAAGAAGGGGAAAAAGAGTAAAAAGCATCTGCAGCTTAAAATAAAGAGTTCTCTGCTTATTGTACTTCCCTATTGTGTACATTTCATCAACGGCCTATTCTCAACATTGTCGAAGTTATAGCCTGGGAAGAAGACCGACGAGCCCGGCCTCGTGGAAATGAAGAGACACAAAAAATTGTCTTTTTTATTGATTGATTGATTTGTTCATTTACGTTGCACTAGAGTTACACAATGGGCTATTGGCGACGGTCTGGGAAACAACCCTGAGGATAATCCGAAGACATGCCATCACAATTTTGATCCTCCGCGAAAAGGATGGCACCCCGCTTCGGTAGCCCAACGACCTGCACGCGAAGTCGAGCACTTTACGGTAGAACAGTTTAACGAGGACCAATACCGCACACACTCGGTCCCTACGGAGACTGATCCAAGTGGTCACCCACCCGCACACTGACCGCAGCCAGTGATGCTTGACTTCGGTGATCTGCTGGGAACCGTGTCTTAACGATCAGTCCACTGCGAGACAAAATTTATCTTAATATGAAATATCTATATATATTTCTCTCACACGGCGACAAAAAAAGCCTCATTAGAACTCCCCGAATGGCAACGCTAGAAAATCGACCAATGATTACCGCTAAAAATGTCACATGCCAAATCTAGCTGAGGTGGCTCAACATATAGCACTTTTTAAAACGGAAACTGAAATAATCTTAAGCTAAGCAGAAGTGAGTAGTCTTTGTCGATCGATCTCTATTTTAGTATTTTGTCGAAAGCTCTTTTTTTCACGAATTTATTTGACGATTTTTGATTTTTATCACGAATTTACTTGTTTTATTATTGTTATTAGTTATTCATTGAAAAATGGGTCTCAGTCGTGCTGTTACGCTTTAAGATTTTATACTATAGCACATTTCTAATAGGTTTAACGAATTACTTGCCATTTATTTGAATTCAAATTTATTTTAATGACTTAGTATTTACTAAAAAGATGTAATTTTTTTTTAAAAAAAAGTTGTTATATGGATTTGAATGATTGTTTTGAATTCTTAGAATTTTGTGTATTTGCAATGTACCTAAGTAAGTAGCGAGCGAAGCGAGTTTTGTTTACGAAGCAAACCATATAAGATTGCGTAGCAATTTTTGGGGGTTGGCGAGCATTAGCGAGCAGGGGGGCGCAGTCCACTAGTAATGTAAATTACATTGTAAAAATTACGTAATTACATTCTTATTTCATTCTAATTACATTCTTAAGTTTTTTTTTTTTTACTGCAGCAAAGCTACGTACTTTTATGTTTGATGATGAGCAAGCATTGTATTTTGAATTCGCGATAGCAACGCTCGAGTACGCCCTCTAACGGGAGCCTGAAAATATCAGGGATTAATTTATTAAGTTTTCATTTAGTTCCATCAAAACCACTGACAGAATCAGACGCCATTTTCTTAGCAGCAAATAAGAAGCAAAATTTCAATAAGGAAAAGACCTTGAAAGAACTCTCCAGAATATTACTAAATCTTTCAGAAACAGAGCACGCCAAACATTTGAAGAAAAATTCCTCAATAATTTTTAACTTCTTTTATCAACAAACTCGCAATTGATAACTTCCGATTTCGGGATCGTATGCTGTTACAGATGTGTGTATTACGGTAAAATGCATTTCTTTTGTCTTCAATTCATTACAAATTAAAGTGAAGTCAACATTGCTTTCTTCATTCCAATGAATAAATGTGAATTCAGAACTGCAGTAGTTATAGAATAATTCTTCTTCTTTATAGAATAGTATATATTTCTGTATCTATACAATTCGGAAAACAATAATAAAGAATCATCCGAATTACTTGAAATAGTATCATTTGTGCTGGTTATTAATAAATTTTTTTCGCTTTCTTGGTAAGTGTTTTATAGTTTTGAAAGAATAATTTCAACTAGAATTCAGCTATTCTGCTTTTAAGCTACATATTAAAATTCTTATCGAGATCTTACAATTGTAAAATTTTGCTGCGTGGTAAGTTATCTAAAAGTGATGAAGGGATAATCTATGTATATATTATTTGAAAATAAAATTTTCAAACTAAGAACATTTCATTTGGAATTCTGCGGATTTATAAAGCAGGTTAGTCTTATGATTTTTATAATAAAAAATTTGCTTATTAATAATTTTTCTTCTTATTTGATGATAGTTTTCTACAGAATGGGCTTTTCACGACTGATTAAGAACTATAAGAATAAAAAAAAGAAACGATATGAAAGTTTTAATTTCAATATAAGGAATTTTTAAAATCGTTTTTTTTATTCTAAGAATTCTTTATCTTAAGAGTTTTAATTTATAATTTTTTGATAAAAATTTCTGTCAAAAAACTTGTTTTGAAAAATTAAATGGTATAACATTATATGTGTTTATGCATACTTCTTGCTTATTCTAATGTTTGAAGTAATATGATTCAAAAGTGCATGGAATAAAAATTCGGTACTTACGTATTAACGCCACCGCCGCTACAGATTTGGCGGTGTTCTATCTAAATGAATTCTTATTTTCAATATGAATAGTGGAAAATGTTCCACTTACCTTTAGACCGCCAATTTGATTATTCATAAACCTTTATTGGTTTTAATTACAAATAGATGAAGATGAATTTACATGAAATGATAAATGATGATTATAAAGTGATGAAAACATTGAGTTAGGTATTAGCGCTGCATGGCGCGTCTCTAGTTACATTACATCTACTGTTTTTAAGTTTTTGAAAAAATAAAAGTTATTACTTCTAATGCGCTAGTGGCGCCATCTGGGGTAGTTTTCTGGGATGACATCTGGGGATGAGGGCTCGTTACATCCCACCACCTCCCCTCCCACCTTGAGTTTTGGACGACGAATGTCATGACGAAACTCAATTAGTCAATTCAAGTCTATAAAGTTTTAGACATGGTCGTAAGTATGATCCATGCCGAGTTTTTACGCGCACCACTCTTGTTTTTCCTTCTTTGCCGGGGTAAAGAGTTTCTGTTTTGCCTAAAAGCCAATTGATGCGTTTGTTGTTATCGTCTCCTACGAGAACGATTTCTCCTTCTTTAACTTGAGAATCTCTCTTTTTGCTGGCAAAATCCTTAAGTTGTCCTAAATACTCAATTCGGAAACGTTTTCTTAAGTCCTCTCGAATTTTTTGACGATAGGCAAATCGTTTTTTCATCCTTGTGGCATCAATTAGATCAATATCTGGTACTCCTGCTCAAGGGCACCGGCAGCGGGGTGCAAGGGGGTGCACTTGCACCCCCTGGCCTTTTTTTAATCAATTAAAGAGATACAGAAAAACAATTTTGTTATAAAAAAATTTTATTAAAAATATTTTTATTAAAAAACAAATAAGTAATTAATAATATATAACAATTAAAAAATTGTTTAATCAAACAAGAATTGTAATAGTCCTGTTTGCTCTCCAAATCTGTTTATAACTTTTTCAATGAATTCTGAGTAAACTTTGATTCTTTTCTTATGCACACTGAGCATGCATGCACAAACTTGGCAGATATCTAAGCTATATTTTTAAGTTTCATTTAATAAAAGATAAATAATATTATATTTTCCATTAGTTATTTAGTTTAACAAAGGTGTATAACACAAACTGACTTCTCACAACTGTAAAACTTCATCAACACAATAAATACCAATGTTAAGCGTACACAAACACGTTAGCATACGAAACTACTGTTTTTAGTTATTTGTGTCTCAAAGTCAGTAGCTATGCCAGCGCCATCAATACAGTTTCTCGTGGCAAAATTTGCAATTACAAGAAATTCGTACCTTTTTAAAATATCTTGTTAACAATGAAGAAATGTATCTTGAAAAACATTAACAGATGAAAGTATATGTAACAACAAAACAAAATGTAATAACAGAATATTGAAAAAAAAAAGTTTTTTTTGGGGGGGGGAGGTTGTTTGTTAGAGGGTTGCACCCTCTTTTATATTATTCTGACGGCGCCCTTGCTCCTGCTTCTTTAATTTAGTGCAAAAACATGGCAGGTGTTAATGGTATCAGGTCCTCTAGAACTTCTGAGATGTACGTAAGTGGTCGGGAATTTATGATGCTTTCAACATCACAAATGACAGTGTATAGCTCTTCATAGAGAAGGTTTGCTCTTCCAAAGACTCTTCGAAAAATTGATTTTAGCATTCCAATCATTCTTTCAAAAAATCCACCACCAGGGTGCAGAGGGAGGATAGAACTTCCAGTAAATCTTTTTCGAAGTAGCAAACTCTTTTAGTTTTTCGAAGTCTACTGATTTCAGATCTGCAGCCGCTCGAGTCAGATTTGTGCCGTTGTCAGAAAAAACCGTTGCGGGTCTTCCTCGTCGTGCTATGAACCTTCTAAATGACAAAAGAAAGCTATCCGTGGAAAGTGACGTAACTAATTCAACATGAATGGCTCGAAAAACCGCACAGGTAAATAGCACGATCCAACTCTTGCTTCCATCCTTTAAAAAGAGTGGTCCGCACAAATCCACTCCAATGACCTCGAAAATCAATGCTTCTCGTACACAATCTTCAGGTGGAGGACCACTTAGCACTTCTGTAAGACGAGCACTGAATCTTTTGCAAGTGACACATTTTCTAATCACTCGTTGAACAGTTTTTCTGCATCTGAGGATCCATTATTGTTCTCTTAGAACTGACACTACAATTTGAGTTCCGGCATGATTTAGTTCTTTGTGTTTATCAAGTATAAGGCAGTGAGTGACATTATGGTCAGATGGTAGAACAATAGGATACTTAAATGTTCTCAAATCCTGCCTCATGGCTATTCTTGTTCTGACTCGTATAAGGCCTTCATAATCCGTTATAGTTTGTAAAGAAGTATGGCAATGCTTGGTTTCTTCTGCTAGGCATCTGTTCTGCACGTACTTCATAATAACCATTTCAGCGTCTTTCATTTCTTCAATAGTCAGCTGTTTCTCGAAGTTTCGTTCATCCGTAGCACTCTTGATGTTTCTATAAAATCTGTAATTCCAAGCAGTTACCCTTATCATTTTTCGATATGATGTTGAAGTATCATATAACGGAGTTTGTCCTTTGAATAAATTTGTTGAAGTCACTACCGTTTTTCTTCTTTCAGCGTTGATAATGTCCAAATCTAGATCGATAGTATCTTTTGGCCAGAGCTGTGGTGGATCTTTCAGCCACATAGGGCCCTCCCACCTTTTAGATTGCTTAAGATGCTCTGCAGAACATCCTCGTGAGGGAAGATCATCTGGATTAAGAGTTCCGGGAACATAATTCCATTCTTCTGGCAAACTGAGAGATCTGATTTCTTGGACTCTGTTGTAAACAAAAAGGGCCCAATTTTCATTCCTTTTTATCCAAAAGAGGGCATTTACTGAATCTGACCAGAAAAAATTTGGAATATTTTCAAGTCTTAAGTCTGATTTAACTCCATATGCCAGTCTAGCTCTAATTGTACAGGATAAAAGTTCAAGTCTGGGTATTGTGACGGGTTTTAGAGGAGCTACTCGAGATCGAGCTTGAATGAGCTGACATGATGTCGAGTCATCGTTTGGCTTCTCAGGAATATGCATGTAGCATAAGCTACCTTGCTCGCATCACAAAAAATATGTAAACTTAAATTTCTCGAACCTTCAGGATTGTCCAAGAGACATCTCGGAATGGTTATATCTTTCAATTGACTTAGTTGTTTTTGCCATTTTTCAAACGTTTTTCTAATAGAAGATGGTAATTCTGCATCCCAAGTGCATTTTAGCTTCCAGCACTCCTGAAGCATGATCTTCGGTCTTAATGTTACTGGACACGTGTAACCAATGGGGTCGAATACTTTGTGAACTTCAGACAGAATTTTTCTTTTGGTTAAAGTCTCAGAGGCCTGCGATGTTTCCTTTAAGTCCAAAGTCAATGAATCAGTACTTAACTTCCAAATCAGTCCCAAAACTGGTACTTTTCTTTCTTCTTTAGGGATGGCTACTTCTTGTGAATTTAGGATACTATGCTCCCACCCTCTTAGATCGAATTGAGCTCTCTTCAATATATACTGCGATTCAGTCATAAATTTGTGCAAATGTTCTCTATCTTCAACACTGGTTAAGCAATTATCTACATAAAATGATTCTTCTAATTTAACTGCAGTTTCCAGCATTGATTCTGGCGCTTTCTTCAAATGGTACCGTAGGGTGGCTCCCAACAAATATGGACTGCAAGTCAAGCCAAACACCACTCTTCTATGTTGGTAAATTTTGATCTTCGAAAGGTCTCCATTTTCACACCATAGAAATCTTAGGAAAGGTCTATCAGCTTCACTCAGTTGGATCTGTAAGAAAGCTTTTCGAATATCTGCAATGACTCCAATCTTATTTAATCTAAATCTGTTGATCACTGAAGGAATGAGCTCCACAAGATTAGGTCCTTTTTCAAGACAATTATTGATAGAGGGGAAATTTTTTATTTTGGTCGAACCATCAAAAACAGGTCTGATCTTGGTAGTAGAATTTTCTTTTATCACTGCTCGGTGGGGCAAAAAATGTTCATTGGTGGCTGTATCGTCTGGGTCAACCTCTTCGATAATTCCCTCTTGCAACCATTCTTTAAATACCGCTTCATAATCTTCTAATATTTCTGATTTCTTTAAGGACTCAACGCAGTTCTTCAATCTTCTTTCAGCAACACTTCTATAATTAGGCAAAGTAGGGTGATTTAAGATCCATGGAAGGCTCACTTCATATCTCCTATCTTCAAGTACCTTAATGTTGCGATTAAAATGGTCTTCAGTAGCTTTTGCAATTTCTTCTCTTGATTCTTTTTCACCTGGGTCTAATATCCCTAACGTATCTAGTTTCCAGAGATCCGAAATTTCAGCCTGAGCCACATGAAGGGACAAAACTATGTTTGTACTATTACTGTTTTCGGGATCACGAGTTTTACCCATAAGTGTCCAACCTAATCGCGTTTCGAAAGTAACTAAACTTTCTGAAACCGATTTAATAATACCTGTGAAAAGTTTACCGCAAACGTCGGCTCCAATAAGTAAATCAATTTCTTTAGTTTCCGAATTCACCCCTCCCATGTTTTTATAATCGCAAAATTTAATTCCTATCTTATTCGCTTCTTTAATCCACGAGCCGTCTCTTATTTTAGGAATTTCTGTACAAATTTTTTCCTAATCATAAACTTCAAAGTTACAAAAATAATCCCGATTTAAATCGCTCAAAAAAATTCTGTATTTATTATGCTAATTTCTTCTTTGCAATCCACCAAAAAAACTATGATTTAAGTTTTCTTGCCCTATTGGTTTGTAACCTATTTTATTTATTGTTTCTTTTAAAAGATACGACTTTTGGGACCCCGTGTCTATCAATCCGCGTATTATTATTTCTTTTTTTCCGTTTATTATGCGAATTGTTAACGTTTGCATTAATACTTCCGGATTACAAGTTTCATTCGATAAAACCGTACTTTCCACTTTACTATCTGTTTTCTTTTCCAGACACATAAATGTATAATGACGTCTAAAACAAATATCGCATTTTACAAAACTCCTGCATTTTTTAGCCGCATGGCCAAAGCGAAAACAAATAAAGCAACAACCGCTCCTCTTTAAAATTTCCCTTTTCTCATTTATTTCTTTCAGTTTAAATTCATTACAATCCCATAAATTATGTCTATCGTTACCGCAAGAAATACATTCGATTCATTCAATAAACCTGACGCCGTTGATATGCGATTCTTATTTTGTTTATTCTAATTCTTGCCTCCACTGCTACGCTTTGAGGAGGGGAAGGGGGAACAATCTGAAATTCGTGTTATAGACGAACTCAAGGCCGTGGCTTTATCGCGGATAATTACTTCTGTTTTTAAAATATCGAGGATCTCTGATATTTTCCACTCATCATCATTGCTATATTTTTTGGTTATTTCTAACACTATATCTGAGGGAAGTAATTTAATAAGTATAGGACAGAGTAAAGTCCCATAATTTTCCTGATTAATTCCCAAAGATTCTAAATTTCTTATTTCAGTTTGACAAGAATCAAAAAGTTTTCTTAATGAAAAAATATGTTTTGATTTTTCTACTGGGGTTAAACTCAACAATTTATTCAAATGAGAGTTAATTATCAACGTTTTCTTGCCAAAGCGTTCTTTTAATGTTTCAATTGCTGATACATAATTATTATTTGTTAAACTGAATCCCTTAATCACATCTGAAGCCGATCCCACTAAATATGTTTTCAAGTAATTAAACTTTTCAACATTCGACAAACCAGTGTTTTTATCTATGGCAGATTCGAACTGATCGTAAAATCTTTGCCAGTCTGCAGGATCGCCAGAAAATTTCTCTATAGTTAAAAGAGGCAGTTTCACAGAAGAAGTTTCATTTATTCTTATATTAGTGTTTATCTTCGGTTCAGAAATGTTCGAATTTAACTCAGGAGACACTACCGANGTTTTCGATTTTGGTTAATAACTTAGTTGTTAATGACCTTATCGTAGTACGCTTTTGTTTGGATTTCTCCATCTTAATTTATAAGCGAACTATTTATACACTTAAAGTCACTATTCTATGAAACTAAATTTCTAATCGAAAATAAACAAGAAATCTCTTAATGGCGGTCCCTGTTCGGGCGCCAGAAAATGTTCAATCTAAAATGAATTCTTGCTTTCTATATGAATAGTGAAAAATGTTCCACTTACCTTTAGACCGCCAATTTGATTATTCATAAACCTTTATTGGTTTTAATGACAAATAGAATGATAGAGATAATAGATGAATTTACATTAAATGGTAAATGATGATTATAAAGTGATGAAAATATTGAGTTAGGTATTAGCGCTGCATAGCGCGTCTCTAGTTACATTACATCTACTTCTACTGTTTTTAAGTTTTTGAAAAAATAAAAGTTATTACTTCTGTTGCGCTTGCGGCGCCATCTGGGGATAGTTTTCTGGGATGACATCTGGGGATGAGGGCTTGTTACAAGCGGTTTTTAAGTGCCGGCCAATCTACACCTAAAAAATTTTTCGACAAATCATGAAATAAAACACTTTATTTAGAATCAAAGTAGTCGATCGGATTTCGGTGGAAAATGGGTCGATATAGATTTTAACATAGATTCAAAACAATCTCTATTTTCTTTCACCTGATGCTGTCGCCATATGAACTCTAATAAATAAGATTCCAACTGAAAGAACATTTCCAAAACGTACGTTTACCAAGATAAAGTTTCATGTCATGGAATTGGTACATTTTCGTTTTTTTTTTGTTGTCATGTTTCGCTCCTGAAAATATAAAATTGCATCTTGTTCTGTTTTTGGCAAATCCCAAAGACGCATTTTCGTAGCACTAAAAAATGGCATCAAAAATCAGCAAACAACAAGGCAACAAGGAATCCAAAAGCTGATATCCAGGATTATTTGATAATTTTTTATAGAATGGTTTTCTACGTCCGATTGTGAATAAACAGAAGAAAAAAATATGAGCAAGTTTTTTATTTTAATGTGAAGAATTTTTAGAATTGTTTATTTATTTATTTTTTTTGTAAGAATTCTTTATTTTACGTTTTTTTAGTTTCTAAATAATGATTTTTATTGAAACTTAAAATTCTTTGATAAAAATTCTTTGATAAAAATTGTTGTCAAAAAACTTTTTTTTACAAAATTAAATTATATAAAATTATGAGCCTTAGATATACTTTTTGCTTATTTTAATGTTTGATCAAACATTAAAATAAGCAAAAAGTATATTGATTCGAAGTAATATGATTCTTAAAACTATGGAATGTAAAGTTTAAATAGACCTTTCATGTTATATCATTAAATTTAATTTCTCGGGCATTAGGTTTTAACTCTAATAAGAAGAAACATATTTTTTTTTGTTTATTTGCAAATATTTTTCCCATGTGTTTTGGATGTTCCTGCTCTTAAAAAAAAAAAAACATTTTGGTTTTATTTGCATAAGAAAGAATATCAACAATTTTTCTCTTTTAAACTTAATAAACCACAATAAAGAAGGAACGTTACAATGCTACACGCTACATTAAAGACGTCTCCAGAGTAACTGAATGACTGTTCATATAGAAATCGCAGGCATTCGTCTCATACAACAACGAAACCCTATGTTGCGATCACGAATTCTATAATTATTTTGTCTTGAGAGCCCTCTTCAGATTGCATGCAAGGAAAGAAGAGAAGTGGATTCCTCTTCAACTGCCAGTAAATGGATGGGGCAAATATATTATCTAACTGAATCTTTATTTAATTTGCATAACTAAACTTTGCATGATCTGTTGAAAGATAAAATACAAGATTGGCTCTCAATAGAAATTTAGTTTATTTCAGACAAAATTATAACAAAGCTTTCAGTTTGAATTTAAATTTTGTATTTAAGTGTGTAAATGAGATTTGTGATTATGATTTGAAAAGAGAATTTTATTTAATGGTGAAAAAAACAGTGATAGTCTCAACAGTTAATTCTCTAGGATTCGCGATCGCAACGCTCGAGTACGCCCTCTAGTGCGAGCCTGTAAATATCAAACATTAATTCATCACGCTTTCATTTAGTTCCATCAAAATCATTGGCAGAGTCAGACGCCATTTTCTTAGCAACAAATAAAAATAAAAATTTTCCTAAGGAAAAACTTGAAAAAACTCTCCAGAATATTTGGATATCTTTCAGACCCAGAACACGCTGAACATTTAAAGAAAAATTTCTCAATAATTTTTAACTTATATTATCAACAGACTTGCAACTCATAACTTCCGATTTCGCAATCGTATACTGTTACAGATGTGTGTATTAAGGTAAAATGCATTTCTTCTGTCTTCAATTCATTACAAATTAAAGTGAAGTCAACATTGCTTTCGTCATTCTAGTGAATAAATATGAGTTATGACAGAAGCGGTGTTATACGCGATTAAATTATGATTTTCGTGATTTCTCTAAGGGTGACTAATTTTTTGTCCGGTGTGCTTATGTTTACATTCTTAACGGTATAAAGAATCATTTGCATAATTTTTTTGTTAAAGAACGGCGATCGGCAGGGCTAAAAAAATCTCGAAATCATATCCATTATAATGGACATTTGCCAGAAAGAGTTAATTGTGCTAAAATTCCCAACTCTTGTGATAATGTTGCTTGCCATTTGTTGCATTGTTTGGTAACTTCAATAAACTTTTTTTTTAATTATTAGTTTAAAACTTCTGAGCTCACTAATCTACAGGTGCAATCAGTAACTTATCATTTATTGTAATAGTTTTAGTCAACCCATTTTCAATTATTTTTTGTGCCGTCGTTTTTTGTGCGCAAATGAATATTTTAAGAGAACCCATTGACTAATTCAAAAGAGGAACG